GGGGGGGGGGGGGGGCTTAAAAGACAAAAGAGAAAAGGCATCTCGGGTTGTGATGTAACTCACTGACTATAACAATGCAGAGCAGTCTGCTTCTCCTGCAAACAGGGCTGAGAAGAGGAAGAGAGTTCCCATCTTCCTCTCTCCTTCTCCCTCCTATCTCAGGCACAGAGATGCAGAAACCTTAATCATCAGAGATGGAGAGCCTGCTGAAGATGGGGAGGCGACGGGAAGCATCCAGGAGGGGTGACTCAGAGCCACTCTGACTGCTCTGGTAACCCTCCTGGTCAGACAGAGAGTCGGGGAGGCTGGGGGAGCCCTCTGAGGTGGGCTGGAAAAAGGTAGTTGGGGAAGGTGGGGCCTGAGGCTCAGACACAGGTGTTGGCCCCAGGCTGGGGCCAAACAGGCTGCCGAGCTCCTGGCTGGAATAGGTGAAGGGGCTGCTGGTGAGGTCTTCAGTGGAGAACATTGGCGGAGGTGTGACGGAGGTGGGGCTGTCCTGCAGGCCGCCGCAGCTGGGGAAACCTGCAAAGCTCAAACTGTGCTGCAGACGAGGGCGTTGCATCTTGTTGAAGGTAGAGAGGGGAGGGGGCCCGCGGCGTTCCTCTGCGTTGTGGATGAAGTGACAGCGGGGGCCGTAGGGGCAGAAGCCGATGGTGTGGAAGGTGCGGCACAGCTCAGTCTTATACTTTGGGTGACGGCTCAGGCTGCGCAACTCGTGCATGCCGTGGGCAAACTGGCACTTGTCGCCGTACTTACAGGTGCCATTCTCCTCAAAGGGCCGACACAGCTCCGTCTTATAGCGGCTCGAGTTGACCTGGCTGCTTCCACCTACACACACCTGACTACCGGGCCGCAGCCTGTCTCCCAGCTCTGAGTAGGAGCGCTCACGGAAACGGTTCTCCTTGTTGCTGTTAGAACTGCCACCCAGCAACACAGTGGGATCTGTTTTAAGGTTGTTGACAAACTGATTCTGGCTGAACTTCGCACTGGGGAGGCTGACTGAGTGACGACGTTGGCCTCCTGCAGAGGGGGCCCCCACCACCTTCCTGTCCAGCAGGGACCCAGTGTTGGTGCAGGGGGAGAGGTTGGCACTGGAGTATGGGACCGAGGTCAGCTGAGGTCCACCAAGACTGTTGTTGTTGCTGCTGTAATTCAACATCTTATTGTTCTGAAAAGAGAAACAAGTCATTTAGAAAACAGTCGATTCAATAAGCACAGCAGTTCATTCCTGGTGATTGGAATGGTTGATGATAGGTGTGTGCTGTGTTTAATCTTTGCATACATTTTATACCCCAAAGTCAAATCTGCAAACTCACTCACTAATATTAGCTTCCCACTCGAGTAAGACAGTGGAATGGAGTCACCACAGACGAGAGGAGCACATTTGTTCCAAAGAATTGCGTGTCATTTCAAAATTGTTCCAACTTGATATTCTGAAAAAGTGACTGACTACAAAATAGTCATAGTTGTCACAAGCAGGTGTTGGACCTGAAGACCAGTTATGAACTGAAATGGTTTTAGATTAATAAAAACTGCCAATTTATTAAAGAAGCATGATTTCGTCCTGATAGCTATGTTTGGACCTTATGTGCTTCTGTTTACATCAGCAGCTGCACACGACTCACATCAGAATGATTTTGGAACACCAACTGCGAATGACCAGTTCCAAATATTTCAACGCCTGAATTTATTTCCGGTCGGTTCTTTCAATGGTACTTGAAGAAAACAAAGAATAAAGTTTGGGTGTAATTTATGATCACGCATGCAGCCTGTCTTCCTCTGCTCTGTGAGGGTGCATGAGGGCGAGGCTTAACTCCACCGAGAGTGAACCCAGGTGACCAATATTACCGGAGTTAACGGCAACTATACTTCCTATCCTTACTGTAAGTTCAATAAAACCGCTAAAAAGCCAAATTAGAGTAATGTATCAAAACACCTGTTCAACAAGTAGAAACTTGGCCCGTTCTGTCCCCAGGCTGCACCACCAGTACTGCAGTACACTCCTTAGGCTAACTGTTATGGTAAATGGACCTGTACTTGTATAGGGCCTTTCTAGTCTTCCGACCACTCACACTTCCAATGTGTAGGATTTAGTAGCATTTAGTGGTGTAACTGCCGATTTTAACACCCTCGCCTCACCCTCCCATTCCAAGTGTGTAGTAGAATGTACAATGGCCACAAACTTGTGAACAGCCATATCTAGAGCCAGTGTTTTGTTTGTCTGTTCGGGGATACTGTGGAAACTAGCAAGCTCACATGAACCAATTACCACAGACAGACGCTCTCTGGTGCAGATACAGTGGATATTTCACAAGCACAGGCCAGGTAAAGCAAGAGTAAACCGCAGTGAACACACCGGTTGCTGCTGATGTTAACAACAAGCCTCCTTTACATGCAGCTCACCTGCTGTTATGGGAAAAGGAAGCGCAGGTGAAAAAAATCCCAAAAGCAAGTTGCGTTTTTTGGTCAAAACCATACAACATTCTGCTGAAGCAAGTCATGAGACACATACAGGGAGAGAGAAACAAAGAGGTGGAGCAGGGCCATCCAGACCAGATCAGGGGAGGTATGTACGTGTGTGTGGATAATAGTACTGAAGGGAAAAGCAAGGTGAGCAGATTAAAATAGTTTGAGGGTTAAGTTGTAATTTAAGAAAATACGGTAATATTCTACTAGAAAAGGGGCAATGTAGCCTATTACTGATTATTTAAATATTTTCAATTGACATGGATTAGGGTTAAGACTGTTTTTGTGTTGATACCGATACAAACCAAGTCTCAAAATGACCACAAACCTCAAAACTAACTAATGGAACCAGAAAAAGGGGTGATAGAAACAGAAGGCAGCGTGACTCTAGCCAGGCTGCCCAGCAGTAAAGACACTTGACTGCACGCTGGGATTTTATTCATTTTTTTTTTAACTGAATTATGAGCAGGACACACAGACTGTGTGGAAATCTGATGTTTTCACATTACAGATGAGGCAAAAAGGCATTTAAACAAGAAAGACTCATACAGGCTGATAGGCAGATGAAAATGACAATCAAGTAAAGAGTGGGAAGTCACCAGGCAGCAGAAGAGTATGCTGAGTCAGGAAAGCTGGAAGCCAGTCAGATGGCATGCGAAATGCATGATAATCATGTTTTTTTGCATTAATTGGAATTGTACACAAATTGTACTACTTTTTGGCAGATAAAACTGATTTAAAAAAAAGAAAAGGCACAATCTCTTTACTGGCATAAATACCACTGTATGAATGACAAGCCTAGAGGAAAAAATAAAAAAGGAGTCATAAGTTTAATTTTTTTTATAAACTTATAGTTTGTACTATGCCGGACGGGCTTTATTGCTCAATATCTGACTGCCTGCTACTCCTCTTGTGATTTGACACTGAGGCATCCCCTTTTGAGGCTGGGCTGGATTAGATGACTGTCAATCTTACGGCCTCAGTAGAAAATAAGCAGTTTAGTAAATGACTGTGGGTTTGCAGGCGGATATTAAAACTGTTAAAGCTTAAACAGCGCAGCACACTGCAGAGGACATGCAGGAAATGAAAAGTAAAAAGGTAAAGTTGGCTAACGCGATAAAGCCATGTGTTGCAATGTAATGACTTTATAACTAACGTTACTTAAACACAATGACGCTCAACTAGTCAACTGACACAAAGTTCACACAGACGGCAAGGAAGTAGCTAAGCTAACGCACAGTTACACAGTCCGCGCTAGTTAACAACAACGCCAGCGTTCATTTTACACTGTTTAGGACAACATTCAAACACTGATAGTAAACTGGTGCTTAAACTGCTCGACTTTCAAATTTACATTTAACGTTAGCTGCTTTATTTCAGTGTTAAAAACTCAACATTAAACACAGAGTGCTCCGTGTGTGCGTCACGCTCACATTACCTTTTAACTAACCTAACGTTAACAAACATCAAAAGGTTCACCAGCAGCCAAAACCTCTTTTAAACAATGTTAATTAGTTTTAAAAAGCTGAAAGGCGTTTAAACTTGACGAGTTACATGTACTGTAACTATTTCAACACTCATGGGACTGCTTTAAGTTAGTGCCCTCAAAAACTTAACACCAAACTTGCAGTTGGCTAGGCTGAGATTAGCATATTTCCTCCAGAAGGACTGAGATTCGCCGCCATGTACCTTGTTAGAGACTTCTCTGTACTCGAAGAAAGGAGAAGAAATAGTCGCTGTCATATTTGCTGGTAAAGAATGAGAATGAACGTTAGTGGTTGTATGAGATAGGCCAGATTCCGGTGTTTTCAACCCCATGGAGAGCCCCCTCTGCCGGGTTGAGGTGCTGCGCAGTTGGTTTTAAGGAGCAGCGGCCATGGCTGCGCCGTGGGCGGGCTTAAGAGTGACCTGCCGCAGCCAGCAAACAGCGCCTCTGCCGGACGAACATATATATAACATAACTGCCTCAGTTCTCCGTAGAGGATGGTCTTTCATAGGTCATGTAGAAAACAGCTGTCTGCTGTCGATTATAGACTCATTCCTCCGAGGTGCATCACAGAGCGCCATAGGGAGTCATGCCTGCCTTTGTCTATCAAACGCTCCAACTCCTCCCTCAGAGTGTCTGAACATTTTTAATGCCTTTTAGTATTGTTTTGCTTGGTTTTATTTTGTCTGTGTCATTATGTTTCCCCTTACCCCCATATGCTTTGGCTTAAACCTAACCAACTCTTAACCAGCTCTGTGAGATCAGAAACAGTTATTTTTGCAGCAGTGGAACTGAAAGGCGGTTATCAGTCCACAGACATGCACTATTATGAACTATGAAACAGTAGAGAGGTTGTCATCTTTATGCACAGCATGTCACACTAGTGTCATATTATGTTTTAGTTCTTTATTTCTAGGGGTTTGGCACAGATTCTGTCTGTCATCTTTGTTACTCCCATCACGTCTTTTTTTCTTCTTTATTCTTTTGGTTTTATATGTGTAAGAGGGTCATGCTCTCCATCGTTCCCATTGTTCTCTCAACTTAAATGCCCAGTGTGTGGTTTCCCCTGTGGATTGAGTTATTGTAGTATTTTGTTTGTGGTGGAAATTTGACCGAATAAAGGAAAACCAACAAAGAGAAATTTGTCTTTGTATATTTATTCAAAATTCTGTGCAGAAGGATGGATACCAGCAAAGCAACAGTCAGCGACTGCCGAGGAATCGATGCTGAGTGCCTTGCTACCAGGATTTTTATATGCATAAGAACAAAGAGAGAACAAAGAGTCAATGACCATAAAGAATAAACATCAAAGAAAAAGATAAGGGTATTCCCAAGTGAAGACATGTTCCTGTCTCAGACCAAAAATGGATAAAAGTTTAGATGTTTTGGGCCTGGCTGTATTTCACCCGGAACAGGCCATGTTCCACCCCTACATTACACAGGTGGTTATTGTATTTATTAAGCCCAAGTGCAGGTCAGCATGACATGTGTAGGCTGGACTATCATCATGTTATGCCTCATTTGATTCATTTTATAGTAATCGGGTCCGGTACATTTCAACTGGAAATAAAGTCAGTCATGCTGTCTTCAGAACAGTATAATCAGTAAAACACAGTTCATACAAAGGTTATTTACTAAATGATAATTTTTCCTCTACATTGTTGATTTCTGGGGTCTTACCACAACTTCATATTGGTTATTTTGGGACCTCTTTTTGCAGTTTGTGGTGCAGAGCTCAGCTCTCTTCTGGCAGTAGAGAACAACACTGTATAATAAATAGTGAACACAATATTTTAAAAATTAAACAAAATTAATTAATTAATTATTAATTTTTAGCAGATTATTTCCTGAAAATATTAGACTTAGACTTAGACAGACTTTATTTGTCATTTGGATTTGCATCAAAATGAAATTATGTTACAATGACACATAGCACAACAGGAATAGAGGTAAGAGATATTGTATCGAAGATGAGTGTTCCTAATATTTGTAGGAACTAGTTATACAATTCTCTTTCTGTAGTATGTAATTTAAACAATCATACATACTTAATAGGCTTCTTTCTGACATTCATACACAGGATGAAGCTGTTTATCAGAGCATGAAGGCTCTGTGAATATAACTTGTGTTCAGGTTTTCAAAGTTTAGATGTTTAAACAATAATTTAAACTTTAAAAGTAACAATTTTGTTTTTTTTCACAGAAATTAGTGAAATGCTGAGATATACCCTGAAAGTACTCTAGGACAGTGGTTCCCAAAACTTCTCCTTAAGGGAGCCTATCATTGAGTAAACTAAGTGACATATTTTATGGATATTTCATATTATATTAAATGCATAACAAGTATATGGTAAATGGTAAATTGTCTGTACTTATATAGCGCCTTTCTAGTCATTTCAACTACTTAAAGCGCTGTACACTACATGCAACACTCACCCATCTGCACACATTCATACACTGATGGCAGTGGCTGCCATGCAAGGTGCCAACTGCCTATCAAACGAACATTGTGAAGCAATTTGGGGGTTCAGTATCTTGCTCAAGGACACTTAGACATGCAGCTAGAGAAGCCGGGATCGAACCGCCAACCTTCAATCATCATCGATTATCAAAATGTACCAAAACCATTCATCCACCGTTACCTAAACCTGGCACAGATGTGCCTCTGAATTAAATGTAGCTCTTTATTCAATCAAAAAATAAATCCAGACAGAGATTACATACGTGACATATAAAAGTAATTTTTAGTTTACAGGTTTGTACTGGTGGCTCACACGTATCACATAAAAAAATAAGGTTTTACGTGTCTTCATATCTTGTTCTTACTGTATGGAGAGCTGAGTATTTGGTCCAACCAGCCTCAGTCTTTTCTTCAACTTGATTCTGGGGAAATGAAACACAGTCTGTGGATTAGTTAATAAGTGCTGTAGAATCATTTGTACACAACTGGGATCTGTCTCAAGTTTTACGTGAAGCTCTGTAGTTTCCCTTGTTCTCAGCCCTGTATTTAACAGGAACATTTGTAAGAGAAGATATTTGTTTGTCTATTAGATTTGGAGGCAGAATTTCGATACTGATACTGAGACATGTTGCTTGAGGGATGTTAGGACATATGTTGGAGGTGGGGGTGGGGTGTTTGGTTTTTTTCCATTCTCAGGACGCCAGCATGTGGTAGTTATCAGAGGAAACTCATCATAAGTTTTTCCACGCTGGTTTTGACATGCTGTCTGTGAGAATTATTCATCAAACCAAACGAACAACCTTCAGATCCACATTTGTTTAACCATTCTTGAAATATTCAATTACAGGAAATCACCAAATGAAATAAACAAATAAAGCTGATTTCATGGCCTTCAATGGATGTAAATATGTCTTAAATGCAGAATTACACTATCAAAGGATGAAGATTTGTTTAGTTCAATATCTGAATATATATCAAAAAAGCAAACGTTTTGTGGCCACTATAATTCCTCCTCCATGCTTGGGAGGGTGAAGTGACAGAGTTGCAATCTGCAACTACACTGGATTTTTAAGGTCCCATTGTAACTTTAAGAAAACCTAGTTAATAATGACACTGTTGGCCGATAAGTGAACTGCAGTCAGTTTCCTGTTGTTGTGGTTGTTGGTGAAGCAGTAGCAGGCATAAGCATCATCCTCAGCATCGGCCAAAAGTAATAAAAAGTGAAGTACACATGAATGAATGCTGGAAAATTAACTAGGGCCCGAGCACTGACCATGCGAAGGCCCTATTGTAATTGAAGGAATTCTTTTTTTTTTTAGGGCCCGAGCACTGACCGTGCGAAAAGGC